CCACCTCTAATGACACCTCAATCTGAGACAGTTCCTCAGATTTGTAACCTAAAATTAATGGCTCAGGTTTGGGAATCTCCCTCACATCCTCAACCAAGAAGACCGATGCAAAGAATTCATTTAGTTTCTCCACAATGGCCTCATCGCCTTTGAGTGCTCCTTTATCATCTTGATTGTCCAGTGGCCACACTGGTTGTTTAGCAGGCTTCCTGCTTCTGATGTACTTTAAAAATGTTTTGCTATTACTTTTTAAGTCTTTGGCTAGGTGTTCTTCAAATTCTTTTTTGGCCTTCCTAATTATATTTTTACACTTCATTTGCCAGAGTTTATGCTCCTTTCTATTTTCCTCATTAGGATTTAACTTCCACTTTTTAAAGGATGCCTTTTTGCCTCTCACTGCTTCTTTTACTTTGTTGTTTAGTCACGGTGGCTCTTTTTTGGTTCTCTTACTATGTTTTTTAATTTGGGGTATACATTTAAGTTGAGCCTCTATTGTGGGGTCTTTAAAAAGTTTCCATGCAGCTTGCAGGGATTTTACTTTTGGTGCTGTACCTTTTAATTTTTGTTTAACTAACCTCCTCATTTTTGTGTAGTTCCCCTTCCTGAAATTAAATGCTACAGTGTTGGGCTGCTGTGGTGTTTTCCCTGCCACAGGGATGTTAAATTTAATTATATTATGCTCGCTATTACCAAGCGGTCCAGCTATATTCACCTCTTGGACCTGATCCTGTGCTCCACTTAGGACTAAATCAAGAATTGCCTCTCCTTTTGTGAGTTCCAGGACTAGCTACTCCAAGAAGCAGTCATTTAAGGTGTCAAGAAACTTTATCTCTGCATCCCTTCCTTAGGTGACATGTACCCAGTCAATATGGGGATAGTTGAAATCCCCCATTTTTATTGAGTTTTTTATTTTAATAGCCTCTCTAATCTCCCTGAGCATTTCACAGTCACTGTCACCATCCTGGTCAGGTGGTCTGTAATATCTCCTTACTGCTATATTCTTATTACTCGAGCATGGAATTACTATCCATAGAGATTCTATGGTACAGTTTGGTTCATTTAAGATTTTTATTTCATTTGATTCTACACTTTCTTTCACATATATGCCAAACCCCCCCCCAGCCCCCACCAACACGACCTGTTCTGTCCTTCCAATATATTTTGTACCCTGGTATTACTGTGTCCCATTGATTATCCTCATTCCACCAAGTTTCTGTGATGCCTATTATATCAATATCCTCATTTAATATGAGGCGCTCTAGTTCATCCATCTTATTATTTAGACTTCTAGCATTGGTATATAAGCACTTTAAAAACTTTTTAGCTGCCTGCCATTACATGATGTCATTGAATGGGACTTCTATTCATTTGACTGTTTCTCATTAGATCTTACTTGTATTTTATCATCTTCCATCCTCTCCTCCTTATTAGGACATAGGGAATCTGCATTTATAGATCCTTCCCTAAGGGATGTCTGAACTATGTGCTCCTCTGCACCTGTCGGCTTTCCCCCAGACCATAGTTTAAAAACTGTTCTACGACTTTTTTAATTTTAAGTGCCAGCAATCTGGTTCCATTTTGGTTTAGATGGAGCCCATCCATCCTGTATAGGCTCTCCCTTTCCCAAAAGTTTCCCCAGTTCCTAATAAATCTAAACCCCTCCTCCCTACACCATCATCTTAGCCACGCATTGAGACCCTGCAGTTCTGTCTGTCTAACTGGCCCTGTGCATGGAACTGGAATGCTACCATGGAGCATTTCAGAAAATGCTACCATGGAGATCCTGGACTTCAATCTCTTACTTAGCAACCTAAATTTGGCCTCCAGGACCGCTCTCCTGTCCTTCCCTATGTCATTGGTACCTACATGTACCACAACCACCAGCTCCTCCCCAGCACTACACATAAACCTATCTAGATGTCTCAAGAGATCCGCAACTTTCGCAGCAGGCAGGCAAACCACCATGCAGTTCTCCCGGTCATCGCAAACCCAGCTATCTATGTTTCAATGGGGGGGTCAGATTGCTGCGTGCCATCATAAAAGCGGGGGAGGGATAGCTCATGGTTTGAGCATTGGCCTGCTAAACCCAGGGTTGTGAGTTCAATCCTTGAGGGGGCCATTTAGGGATCGGGGCAAAAATTGGGGATTGGTCTGAGCAGGGGGTTGGACTAGATGACCTCCTGAGGTCCCTTCCAACCCTTACATTCTATTATTCTAATGATCGAATCGCCCAACACTACCTGTCTCTTCCTAATAACTGGAGTTCCCTCCCCCAGAGAGGTATCCTCAGTGTGAGAGGATACCACAACATACATCATCTGGAAGGAGGGTCCCAACTATGGGATCATTTCCCTCTGCTCCAGTTAGATGTTCTCCTTCCCTGGACTTTCATCCTCTTCAACACCACAGAAGCAGTCACTTTGGGGGTGGGACCATTGTACTGTGTCCTGGAAAGTCTCAACTATGTACCTCTCTGTCTCCCTTAGCTCCTCCAGCTCAGCCACCCTGGCCTCCAAAGCCCGTACACGGTCTCTGAGGGCCAGGAGCTCCTTGCACCGAATGCACACATACGCCACCTGCCCATAGGGCAGGTAATCATACATGATGCATTGGGTGCAATAAATTGGGTAGCCCGGACTCTGTTGCTGGACTTCTGCCTGCATTATCTTTTTACTCCTGGAGCTGGTTCCTTTGTCAAATGGTGTCACCTGCCATTATTATTATTTATTTGCATTGCCATAGCACATACCCCATTATGCTAGGCACTGTACAAAGACAGAACAAAATATGGTCCCTACCTTAAAGAGCTTACAGTCTGAGATAATGGTGGGAGAAGGCAGCTTTAATTTCCAGTGGAAGATGCTTAGAGGGTACCCTGAATCAGCACATCCCCCCTGTATATTCCCCTACTGGCAGTGCTGTCCACTTCATGGGCTATATTAACTGCCTTTTGGCCCATTCCATGGCAGATGGAAGGTCGCAGATGTTTTGTGCAGCCACAGAATTCTCCCTGGTTCACTCTGTACATCAGGATCTCATGTCTGGGTTTCCAGGAGATATGTGCCTGTGGCCAGGAACTCAGGCTGTATCTATCCCTCTCCTGTCTCACTGAAGCTATTTGTCCTTTTCTGTTGTAGGTTAATGTAGAGCAGACAGTAGATTACCATATTTTGCCATATATAATACACCGCTTGAATTTAGAAAAACTTATTTGGTGAGTAATAAGCCTTTAAAAATAAACTCCTATTTGCCAATATAGGGAGAATGTAATTAACTCAGGGACTTGTCACATTGAAGGATTGTTTTGGGTTTGGTTTGAAGACCGCTTCTTCAGCAACTAAATTTTCTATGCTTCTTTAAACAAATATGATTTGCAGAGCATCCCACAGTCTTTCCTGGATGGAGAATTCAGAAAGAAAGATACATTTGAATGAGTCTGACACACAAAGATTAGCTGAAGATCGAAACTTCAACAAGGTTACAGTGTTCAGATCCAGGATTTTGGTTCAGCCCCACAATACAATTGTGGCCAGCAGTAAAGCTTAGATCTAGATATTAAAGTCACTAAATCTCAGAGGCAGTGAAGCCAGGTTCCACCTCTAATTTAATTAAATCACTGTGGAGAAATCTTCAGGGTGGGGGGGAAATAGCTATTTAAAGTGCTATTTTACTTTGTGTTTACTATTCTCTCCCTCCCTGGTTTCATGCTGAGATAAAACCACAAATATTTGTCAATGTTCAGGATTCCTTGCTTTTCATCCCAAACCTAACAGGAGTGAAAGCTGAGCAGTGAACTTGCAAGGTTTTTCAAATCATCTTAGAGATCACTTGTCTACATTTCCTGCAAGCAGCTCCTTGCAGCTAATGTTTCTGAAAACCGGAGCTGGTGGAGTAATTCAGAAAGTTATTCCTCGTTCCAAGAGCAGGTAGCACAGCTCCATAATAACCCCAGTGCACATCCCTCCCAGTTTACTGCCCCTTTCAGATTATGGACACTTCACATTTCCCCTCACTTCCAGTTCCTCCCTGCCACTGGTAGATCCAATCTTATGAAAATATTCTTTGCTGCCAACAATTTCCAGAGGAATAGAGCCACCATAGTGGTTCTTATGCCCCACCCTCACCCCACACACACACCCTTTTCCCAACAAGGTGTGCCCAAAAGAAAGAGGACACGGTGGGTTGCCCTACACCCGGGTCATCTCCAGCTGCCATAACAGTCCCAAGGGGCAGCAGGTAGCTGCATGTAATACATTAGAATAACTCTGAGAATGCTTTAACTTGAACCAGAGACCCAGGAAAGCATGATTTGAAGCACAGTTTGGCTGGACTAGGGCCTGTGGGCCATTGGCTTCATTCAAACTTCTTGGGGAATAAGTTAGCAAACAATTTGACCGAGTAAAGCTGCAGACTATATTTGCAGTTTCCTTTTTGCTGAGGCTCTTCTGCATGTACCCAGACCAAACATGAGTAACAGATCTCACTTCCTCCTCATCAATTAAAAACAGTCTGCCCAGCTGTAATGCACACATCTCTCCCCACAAAGGGAATGGAGTTTCAGAGAAAGCCTGTTAAATGTATTCATTCTCTTGCTGCTCTGCTGGTTTTAGAGAAAACAGCTTCCAGTCATTATCAATAAAAGAGTGAGTTTAGATTCTTTCTATAATACATGTTGTCTCCACTAGCATAGTCAGTTTATCAAATATTCTGATTTAATCTTAGGCTGCAGCATGTTTCTTTCAATAGTTATCTGTTTACAATAATTTACAGTGAATAAACATCAGTCCTGTTCCAATAGTAAAACAAACAGAACAGAACCATTTTTCTTTCAATGAAACTTATCTCAGGAAAAGCTAGTCTGGGCTTTTCTGACCCATTAAGTTTATGAAATATGTTACCTATTTATTTCCATACATTCCTGAAGCACAGTAAAGGTTAAAGTATAAAACAACCATTTTATAATATTATTTATGATAGTACAAACCAAATAAAATACTTACATGATAGACAAACTCCTTCAACTCCATCCTTCACCCTCTTGAATCCAGCTTCCTCCCTCTACACTCCACTAAAAATGCTCTCACTAATGAGAGGTCTCACAATGACCTCTTTCTGGCCATGGCCTCTATACTCATCCTTCTTGTTCTCTCCTTGGCCTTTGACACTATCAAACATTCCCTCTTTTTTAAAGTCTTGTCCTCCACTGACTTTTGCGACTCTGTCCTTTCATGGTTTTCCTCTGACCTCTCCAGCTGCATCTCCTGGTGGATGTCCAACAGCAGCTTAAGCTCAACATGTCCAGAACTGAGCTTTGATCTCCCCCTCAAACCTTTTCATCTTTCTTGATTACTTAGACACAGTGGATAACACCATCATCTTCCCAGTCACCCAGGCCTATAATCTAGGCATCATCTTCAATTTATCCCTCTCTCTAGATCCACATGGCCAGGTCATGTCCTTGTCTTGCCACTTCTACCTTCACAACATTTCTAAGATTCACCCATTCCTGCCTCTACAGACTACAAGATTCTTGTTAAAGCCCTCATCATCTCATACTTTGACCATTACAATATCCCCTTCTTTGGTGTCTTCATTAGCCATATTGGCCTCTTTAAGTCAATTCAAAATGCTGCTGCTGTGATAATCCTTCTGACTTGATGCTCCAGCCACATCATCCCTTCCCTCCGGTGGCTTTCCTTGCTCACCATTATCAAACATGAACTCCTTGTCTTTGCCTTTAAGGCCTTTCACCATTTAGTTCTACCCTGTCTATCAGATCTACTAGCTTATCACTATACTGCTTGCCCAACATACTTAGAAATCGTGAGTTAGACTCCAAAAATATGAAATTGTCTTAAAAACCATGAAATCAAAATAATAAATCACATCGTTTTTGACCTACGTTCTGATCCTCTTAACCCAACCATGGGCAATTCAACCTAATTGACTAAACTGTAGCAGACAACTGAGCTCTCAGTTAGCTGCAATTCTAGGATACATTCAAACTAGAACTTTGATTTGTTTGAGGGACAAGGGAAATAAACAATTTATTATTAATTATAAAACAACAGTAATGAGCAAGTTCCATAGCAGCAGCAAATTCTTCTGGGCTCATTATAAATGGCACCACTCAAACGTGTATTTTAAACAATGACATTTGGAGAACAGAAGTGCATTCAACAATTGAAAAATGTCAATTTAGAAAGGCTAGGCAGCTGAGCTAGATTCTGATCTACATGGGGATAAACCCATAGTAACTCCACTGGGATAACTGGAATTACTCTGGATTTGCATTGGATTTATTTAGTCTGGTCCAATCTCTTAACTTCTTACTTCTGCATAAGATAACTTAGAACATTCAGCACACTTTCTAACAGCATTTTTCTGGCCAATGGTAAAATAGAATTTCAACCAGCAATGAAACCAAAGGCAACAAGACATTTCAGTAGCATCTAATTTTTAATTTTAAAACCATAAAAGTATTAATGAGCACTGCCTCACTTGCTTACAGAGAGCTGCCATATCTACTCTAATAGTTTTTTAAAGGATATAGCTTCTGTTCTCTAGTCTTACCTAAGGCATATTCTCTCCCTCTTCCCCTCCCTAACACACGCACATGCTTGTACAGTGACAAGCCATCACAGAATCTAAACTGATGGTATTAAGTTGCAGTAAATTTGCAGTTTGGCTGCAAGTTTATGCTGGAACCAGATGACTCGCATCACTGTAGCTTCTCATGACGTCCCAGTAATTAATGTCCTAGATCTCACTTTGCCTCCTCTCTGAGGAGAGCAGCTTTTAATTGCCTCATAATGTATACTCAAAATTAATAGTTGCCTAATTGTCCCTAGACAGATGCTTGGAGAGCCTGTGAGAAAGAGCTTATAGTCTGCAACACCGAGTGTAGGCCCACAGAGCATAATAAAAGTGGAAAACTTATCGCTCTTCTTTACTTGCCAAAACACCAATCCTACCAAAACTACTAACTTGAAATTTTAACATTCACTAGAGCTTTGAATCTAAAACAATATTTTGCCATATACGATGCTTCCTTACTGCTTTGGCTATAGAGTATAAGATCACGAGACAGCCCTCTTTAATGCAATAACTGAAATGGTAAGTGTGATCCATGGCTAGAAAGGGTTAAGCACTCTGCAAAATAAATAACCCTCAAAAGATAGGTCGGGAGATAATGTTTGTGTTTTTGTGTATTTACATATGTATGAAAAGGGTGGACAATGTAATCGACTGTCCCTGTCTATGCTGTATTCTGATAATTCAGAGGTCAAAATGAATTGTAAACATGGGGTATCTCGGTATTCATCTCTCTTTGAAATGTATCGGGAATAGTGGAGGAACAAGCAAATGACCTTATGTTAATTCGTATAGCTAAGTACCGGTGATGGACCTCCTTCAAGGTCATCCTAATTACCTTTCGTTCCCTGAGGAACTCCCAACTTGTCAAAGAAGACATGAAATTGTATAAAAGATCCTTGGGTCCTGATTCTGTCATCTCTGATCTGCTTAGATTTCATCAGGGGAAGTTTGAGTCGCAAGACTGAGGTCCCAGTTATGCCGGTATGCCCTGAATATCAGATTTGGACACTGGACTATGACTATGAACTGAATTCTAAAGGAACTCTTGGCAACTACAAAGCTCACCATCTCTGCTATGAATCTGCACCTAAATGAATTGAACTCATGTCTGTATGTATATTGATCTTTTAACCATACTCTCTTTTGTTTTTAATAAATTTTAATTTAGTTTATAAGAATGGTCTGTAGTATGTATTGAGATAAAATCTGAAACATTCATTAACCTGGGAGGTAATGTGTCCAAACCTTTTCTTTTATATGACGAAATAAGATTTACAAAAATTTTCATCATATTTGATGTGGGTACTTGGATAAAGGCTGGAGGCTGGATCACTTTAAGGGAACTGTGTTGTTTCAACTTCCGAGTAACTAGAAAGGTGATAAAGAAGCTGTTTTATGCTGGTTTGGTGAATCTAAGTATTGGAATATTCACCAGCTTTTCGGGGTTTGACTGCCCCATTCTTTGCAGTTCACCCTAATTGAGTGACCATAGCTGGCCCCCACTAGGACCCCAGTTACAGTAAGGCATACTTTTTCAAAGCACATTGGGATGTTTTAGCTATGTTACTGTTTGTGATGAAACAGCATGGCTTGAGTTACTCTGCAAATGGAAACTTTCAAAAGCACATTGATATAGATATTAATATCCAGCACCAATAAGAAATACCTGTGCCTTTCTCGTGCTATGCAAAAGTGGTTGAATAATGAAAAAAGAGATACACTGACATTCATAAATAAATGGGCTTACTTCACCCTGCTGCTATTCATTGAATTATGTTGTGCATTATCGCTGAATTTTCAAATGATTGTAGGCTTACAGGAAAATGATTATGTATCCTGAAAGTGCTGAAATTTTTAGTAAAACTGTACATTATACATTATCTACTGGTTGCTATTCAGCATTCATTATTCTCCTGTTTAAAGTTTCAGTCTCGCAACTGGGGAGCAGAAACAATACCAGGTAACGTAGGTTATTAATCACATACCACAAATACTGAATAACAGATAATCAAAGGGAACACTTTAACAGCAATCCATAAGTTGAACATTGTTAGTCCAATTTGGCCAATGCCTATAAATAAAAGACACATTTGTAGAAATCAGATTTGTGTGTGAGCAGTTCGTGAACTGAGATAAAGGGTTACATTTCCAATTAGTATTATTCAAAACAAATAAATTAACTTGCTCTAGATCTAGGCATTACTTTTATCTAGTTCCAAGCTAAAATTACGCTCCTGCTTTTTTCATTCTCCCCCATCCTGCAGTACCTTAAATTTTATGTAGCACATTTTGAGTGATAATCTTGATTAAGTCTCATGAGACCCTTGTGAGATACAGTATTATTATTTAACATATTTATTAGAGTAGTGCCTAAGAGCCAACCAAGTGTGAGGCCTCATTGTGCTAGGCACTGTCCCTGCCCCCAAAGAGTTTACCGTCTAAATAGAAAGTAGGAGAGTATGACATGTTGTCCCATTGTGCAGATAAAATAAGGCTTTTCAGCTATCTAGGTAGCTCACTTGAAAAGCTCTGCCCCTTCCTACTGAACAAGGACTTGGCCACAATGATCCATACATCTGTCGCCTCCAGACTGCATTACTGTAATTTACTGTATATGAAGCTGAATGTGAAAATATTCCAAAGTCTCCAACCAGTGCAAAATGCAGTTGCCCACTTCCTCCAATATTTAGGCAGTCATGAGCAGATCAGTCCTGTGCGCTGGTCCTTCCAAAGGCTCTCAAACTGCTTCTACTGCCCGTTTAAGGCTTTGGTCATAGTCTTCAAATGGATCAGGGGATCTGGTGTGGAATGAACTTCCAGAGGAAAACAGATGAATCCCAAATCTAATCACATTTAGGAAATGCTGCAAGACCTTCTTATTTGATAACACTTTTGCACCATAATCAGAACAGCATCCACAATATCAATCATCCCCTCCCTCATTATATAAAAGCAAAGTACCCAAAGAGAGCTTTCTACAACCCAGAAAGGGAGACAAGCCAAAGATGCTATGGAGTCCCCTAGAGACTCTATTGCCAATCTATTTTCCATTGAAGATGCTCAGATACTATGGTGAGGAGTAGCAGTACAAAACCACAGAGAGAGAGAGAGAGCAAGCCATCTAGGCACAAACCTGAAATGATGACAGTGCACAGCTGCACCACACCAGTGGATGCAACACAGTCATTCTGCCTCACAGAAGCACTTTGCCTCTCAAAGCTCTCCCATACACCTGGAAAGCATGCACACTGCTGCACCTCTTCACTGGCCAGAGTTGGGAGACGAAGACAGAGCTATGGCACCCCCACTCGCACCCCAGAGCACAGGAACAGCAATTCTTACATGGGCCGTGCTAGGGCAGGGGAGGCCCTTTCTCCTTCTTGCCACCAAATACCCCCAAATTAGGGTGCAGCAAAATCTAGTCCTAAATGATTTTCCGATAGTCATATCACACC